CTTCTATAAATCGAAAGGAGACTGCGACCACACCAGAAGCCACAACATCTTGGTCTTTATATATTCAAAATAATTTAAGTTTGCCTGAATTTTTCACATTTTAGGCACAGTATGCATAACTGGTATTCATCTGATCTATTAATATAATAGCTACTCGAATATAATCATAATCGACGGCAAATAAATACTACTCTAATCGTATCTTTGATAATCCAAAGTTAATTTTCGAAGCAAAGATATAAAGACCAAGATGGTGTGGCATTTTGTGTGGTCGCAGCCTCATTTCGTTGTATATAAGTGGTTTGACCGTGTTTTCGCAACTTGGTCATGATGGTAGGAAGACTTAGAGGAACGCATCTAGTCCGGAGTCCATTGTCTGCATCATCAATTCCAAAGTCGGACCGTGGATGTGGTACATTTTCAAACGTTTCGCCGGCATTGTAGTCGGTATCGTCAGTGAGTCTTGTCATTTTAGCACTACACAACAACTCGTCAAAGAGACAAGTGAAGCCGATCCTTTGACCAAACGTGTGTTAAACAATTGTGGTATCTCCCCTTCTGCCCTAGGCTATTCACATTCCCTATATCCCTCCATCATGACGTCACTGTTACAATTTTACCGTGCTTATTTCGATGTATGTGGTGTGCTCATTAAAGCGGCAGTCATGACAACCCTTCTCACTCTAAGCTGTTGTCCTCACCCCTTTCACTCTTGTGCTGGGAATGTTGATCAGAGTCTGCCATATTGTTACGCAGTTCTCCTTCCCTAGGTCTTACCACAGTCTCTCCCCTGCCCCGTAATATCCGTCTGCCCTCTCCCTGGTTCACATATTTCACTCGACCCCTGCCACCCCATCTGTGCTACTCGTGGCGTTATTTCCCACACTTTACGTCTGAGTGACTAATTCGGGGCTAAAACCACAGAGTAAGTTACATGGTCAAGCCTTTGCTACATGGACCACGTCTATAATAAAACAGGCCTACGGTCAGCCAACTAACTCTAGTTTCCGCCGCGTCTATCCTGTTTCTATACCTAATACCGAGTCTATGACTTGCAATGCCCTAGTTACTTGTGTGCCCAGCCACAAATGTTGTGGTACAGCTTGTTTTGATTTGGTTCAATGTTGAACCACAACGTTTGTGGGTTGGCACACAAAGAGACTAGGGAATAGGCAGTAATAGGCTTGGTATTATGATAGAAAAAGGATAGAACCAGTGGAAGCTAGGGCTAGTTGGCTAACAATAGTCATGATTGAAGGATCACTTCTAGGAGGAAACACGTCTATTGTTAGCGAAATAGCTTTAGTCTCCACCGCGTCTTTCCTGTTTCTATGTGTTATACCATGTCTATCACCTCCTATTTCCTAGTCTCTTGTGTGTGTTGTTCTACTTGTTTTGATTAGGCTTACTGAAGACGTCTTATCTTGGCTTCTGATTGTTCCTTTCTCGTCTATCTGTGATTTTTTTGCTAAAATTATGGATCCAGCCGTCTTCTTTTTGCTGATTTTACTGTTGTCTGGTCTTCGAGTTTGTTTAGGCAATATGCAAAGTTTTCGCTGATAATGCCTTTTTCAAATCTTGTTTTAATTAGATTTCTCTCGGTTAGTATATCGATGGTCTCTCGGATCTTGCGTTTTCTTGTATTCTCACCAATATGCAGCCAGCCTTTCGGTCTATTTCCAGTCGATTTCGTGCCCCGTTCGTGCAATGTGTTCCGCTATTTTGGATCTTTCCATATCCATGTTGCTGCCGATTTTTCTTCCTGTTTCACCAATATACTTGTGCTCACAGTTGCCGCATTTGATGCGATGAACTACCGAACAATCAAGTTTGTCAGTCTTCTCGTGTTGCGTCGGCAGACTGGTGAAAAGTGTTTTCTTCTCCTTTGTTATCACCTTGATATTTCATTGCCTTAGTAACGGTTGCAACTTTCGGCTCAGTTATGATGGGGGCAGGCAAATACATTTCTGGTCGTACTCCTAATTCCTGATCTGATTTTCATAAAATCAGAGTTGAAATTTGCTTTTTATAACGCTTACATTTTTTTCTATAAATTCTTTGGGGTACCCGTTACTAAGGCAAATCCGTGTCAGTTTGTCCAACTCCTCGTCCCAGAACTCAGTGTCTGCTAGTCGCAGGCTTCTGATGATCAAACTCCTCTGTACTCCAGTCTGTAGTTATGGTGAGACTGAAAATTATGGATTATTCCCGCATATGAATTCTTTATGTATAGTCTCCTCATGAGTATCCCGTTGGAGTGCATAAATTCAATATCCAGGATGGATGATCGTTCATTCTCCTCTACCTCCATTGTGAATTTAATTCTTTCATCAAGTTGATTAATGAAATTGAGAGATCCATTCAAATTTTCTTACAATATGACCAAAGGGCAAAGTATCCAAGTATCGCATAAGCACTCTTGGTTGCAGTAGTGAATTCTCGAATTCACTTTCTAAACTTGTCCATGTACACATTTGCCAAAAGAGGTGAGAGTGGAGATCCAGTCGGTAGTCCAAATATTTGCATGT